GTGAATCGATACACTTCGTCCAGCGTGTGTCCAATGGGGACGAAGTTAACAACGAGTATTCGGTCGACGTTGAACTGTTGTCTGTACTCATCAGCTTGTTTTGCGGCGGCTCGATCTCTGATTCCCGTAATTGATTAGACTTCAGCTCGTACGCGACTCGGACCCCATTGGCAATAAGAATATTGGCTCTCTTTCGGCTGCCTGGAGTTTTTACTTCAGCATAAATACCCCTGGTCAGTGGTCCCTTCTTCAAGATATCCCGAATCGTAGAGTACAGCTCGTGATGAAATGCAGACTCACTAGGTGCTTGTCGATTCCTCACAAGATGATTCGAAATGGTTTTGGGTTACACTTGTCCAAGCGCAACAGACAAGAGCACCACTGGGTCACCAGTATTAGCAGCTTGATGAATTCCCCGCTCGGGGAGGGCTTCGACACATCATCTCAGATACAATGGCCAATTCCCCATGGCTTCCTTGAACCACAATCCTCATTCTCAGTAATTGATCAACGAGTCGCCGTTCTTCTTGCAACCCCATTTTGTGTTCACCGCCAGAGTGACGCCGGTACTAACTGTTTTATTGACGCATCTCCAGCGTCTGCTTTGCAGCCGCTGTATCTGAGCGCACATTCGATGAGCCGTCACCGTGGCCCTTTTTAATACAAAACAACATAAAAAGCGATCTTAACGAAACCAAGCCTTTAGCACATATTGATAATAGCTGTAAGATACAAGCTTTTCAAAGTCTCGTTAGTCGGCTCCCCCGAACGCAATGAACACAATATTACTATACTAAACAAACCCTACGCATTGTTTTCGACACCAGTCCTAAAGGTGTTATAAATGTTCAAAACTCACCTAAAAAGTGATTCTCTCAACTATCGTGTGCAATGCGGAGCTCAAAGCAGCTCATTGTTGGTGCCCTCGCAAATACCGGGCAGTCTAGGTTCGAGGGTACCCCGCGCGGTTAGCTTTGATTATACGTGATTCCACCTATAGTTGACCTTAACAACATCAAATCTAAATTTAGTTATTTTGGGGTTCTCTTAACCTTTAAAATCCGAAAAGGCCCTAATTCTCCTGAACTTGTATGCGTCACTATTGATTTATGTCAAGACTTCTGCGTTTTGTTCTGCTTCTGACGCATACAAGTTCATGTAGCCAAAAATGCTTCTATACAAACCGCTATATATTAGGGGGCAATCAACAGTTGTTACGAATTTGTTTGCGTCTGGCGCAGAAACTACTCAACAGACTTCATTAACCTCACCAAAAGCAT